AAGAATTACAATCTTCTGTGTAGGCTCTCATGGTTCCTTTGCTTTCTTTACTTTTTACAAGAGACCTCATCTCTTGCTTGTTATGCACTGAACTCTGCAGCCATACCACATACCAGCTGTTTCCTGAATATCTCTGTTTTTCTTATGCCACCTTTTTTCTCTTCCTTGCCTGGGGAACTCTTCCATTAAAGGCATGACTTATGGCATTAGTTTCCTTAAAGCTCAAAAAGAATTACTGGTTACATTCTTTCCATGTCTATTGTATTTCTTGAAGTAGGAACATATTAGAGTTACCTATTTATAATTCCTACATACTATGAACTTTTTTCCAGGTAAGATGAATTCTTTGATATCTGGGGTAGTCCCTAATTTTGTTTATCCCCGAATTTTATCATGTTGGGACATGTAATATGAACTCAGTAGTTAGCTAGTTGGTATAAATAATAAGGCTCTTTTCTCGTTAGAAACAAAAAAGAATCTTAGTCATTTTTGTTTGAATAGTTAATACATTTTTCTACAACCCTACTTGAGCTTGATTTCATATTCTTACCCTGTCTTCCTTTTTTTCCCCCTTTCCAATATGAGGATGGAACCCAGGACCTTTGCACTGAGTTACATTCCCATTCCTTTTTCAGTTTTATTTTGAGCCAGGGTCTTGCTAAGTCAACTAAATTGCTAAGGCTGGGATCAAGCTTGCAATCCTGCCTCCACCTCCCTGAGTGCTGGGATTACAGGTGTGTATCATCATGCCTGGTTTCATCTTTCCTTAAAGGACTCTCCTAAAATTGGTGTCTCATATAAATTCTTGGCATTAACATGGCCCAGGGCTTGGCTGCATACCTGGATACTGAGTAGTAGTGATAGCAGAGATCCTCGATTTGGTCTAAGACTATAATACTTGGAATGTTGGCTAGACCCTAACTATACTTGTACATACAGGCTGCTGAATGGTGCTTACCTTACTACAGTTCAGTAGAGATGGATCACCAAGTTGAGACATTATTAAAATGAGAAAGAACACCTTTTTCATTAAATTAGTTTTCAGTACTTTATTCAGGGGCTGTTCCTACTAGACTTGCTTCTCTATACTTGAAAAAATATCTTCTCTGAATTACACTTAAGTTTTTTTCATTGAACCTGATTTTCTGCCTAGGATTAAACTTGAATTTTAAGCAAACCATTTCTACTCTGTGTACAAATACAAGCTTATTTTTTCTGTTGTCTATAGAATTGTCTTAAGAAATTTATAGAAGATAATGTCTTAGATGGAAAACCTAATCTCTGCCTAATTTATTTTTCTATTTTTGTTGTATAATGTTCCATCAGTTGTTTTTATTGTGACACCTGAGTGTGAAGTTTGCATGATGTTGATATACATTATGGACATGTAAGAGATGTCTTATACTTAAAATTTTATGTACCACATATCCATATTTTTACTATAAATATATATTTTAATAATCTGAATTTACTTACTGAGCTCATTTGATTATTTTCTAAACACAGTTGTGTTAGTCATGCTATCTAATACACATTAAAATATAGAAAGCAGTTTCCTTGAAACTGGAATTGCTTTGCCTTTATGTTATTTAGAAATAAAAATAACTCAGAAAATAGTTTTATAGAAGAACTAGGCTGCCTCAAAAAGCCAGGCAATCAGATCAGGGTAGGCCAGTTTCACCTGCTTTTCAGCATTGTCTCCTCAGTAGAAAATCTGTATTTTTAAGGTACTTAATGTTACGTGTATCTGAAATGTCCAAGCAATGGGTTACAAATTGAACTACCACTTGGAGGAGGTCCTGGAGAGGGATCCTCTCATGAGATGAGAGAGGAGCTTCCTTTCCCTGTGTGCCTTGTTAATAAACAATTGTGGTCACTGTGGTGAAAAAATACATCTTTAGTCTTCATAGGAAAATACTGGCATCTAACTAAAGATCGACACTGGCATAGTATAGTGTTAAGGAAGCCTGTATAACCCCTGGGGACTTGTCATGTCTTCATGTGATGAGTCTCACTATTTATCATTTGATGTATAAGAGAAATGGTGCTGATGTATATATACTTTGTTTCATTCTGAATTTAAAAGCTGCAAATCTTAAAAATTCAGTTTTTAAAGTATTTTATTAATTTAACAGATGGAAGTTATATTTAAACATATTAAGTGAAATAATTATTGGGTTTGTTCCTTATTCCTATCCATGTAATTCAGAGTAAGAGGACTATGCTTCAGTCTATTCTGCTTAAGCTTTCAAATTCCTTTGACAGCCTGGATGTGAAATTCAAAAGCCATTAATGTGATGTGTTAATTTTGCACTTTTTGACTTACTGCAAAAAAAAAAAAAAATCTTATAGTTTCCATAGCAACAATAACTATCCAGATTGTGTAATATTCTTTACAGTATTAAAAATAAAACTCTGCAATTACATGAGCTTCTGGAGCATTTCATTTAGAGGAACTGGGAATTGAAATTTTTCTGTTAAAAAATTGTGGCTGCATGTGAAAATTTTTATAATTTTGTTTCAAGTATTAAATAATTCAGTAATAGATACCCACTAGTTAATTTCATTGTTAAATATGTATGTACAGATATATTGTATAACATGATGTAAGCATTGTGTCAGGTCATTTCAGGCACACAGACTCACATGCCTATATACACTTTTAAGAAAAAGAGGACATTGACTAATTATTCAGTCTTCTGCTGCCTGTGCTTTCCAGGGACTTCTGAGTGGTCTAAAAAAACAGGAATCTGGATGGAGAAATAGGGGAAAAATGATAACATTATGATTTCCCTAACTTTTGACTTTGCTCTTTAAAACATGCCTGATCTATCGCTTTGGATATACTAAAGATTGTTGTCATTATTTCCAGAGTGTCAAATTGGTTTGGCTGCTCCCCCTATTATAATTTGGCATCTTTTTTTCTCTTCTTTGAGATAGAGTCTCTGTAGTCTAGACTGGCTTTGAACTTGCTAAGTAGATTAGACTATTGCATCTGGCCACCTCATCCTTCTAAGTGCTAGTATTACCGGTATGTGCCACTGAGCCTGGCTAAATGACAATATTATGTTATAACCGAAGTTAGTTAACATGGCTTTCTGAATCTTCCCCCCCCCCGCCAGTATTGAAGATTGAATTTATGGAACACTGAGCTGCACTTCCAGTCCCTTTATTTTACTTTGTATCTTGAGATATGATTGTGTTAGATTGGCCAGGCTGTGCTCAAACTGCTCAAACTTGGAATTCTCGCTTCCAAGTATCTGGGACTAAAGATGTACACCATCATGCCCAGTGACTTCCTAAATTTTAACAGATCTGTTTTTATTTTTGTATTCAGTATATTTATAGGTGGATATATTTATTTTCATGTAATTTATGTATTAGTAATATGTGATAAAAGGTTTTCACGTTTCTAATGATCTTCACAGTCATTTTAATAATTGCATCATAGTTCATCCTTTTGATGTATCTTGTTTATCAAACTGTGGCTAAGACAAGCCAGCCCTGGTGGTTTATGCCAGTGGGAGGTTGAGGCAGGCAGATGGCAAGTTTATGGATAGTTGACCTACATAGCAAGTTCAAGGTCAGCTTTGACTACAGAGTGAGACCATGATGCAAAACAGACAAACTTAAGCAAAATGCTAGCCATGTATTATGGTACACACTTGTAATCCTTCATTCTGGGAGTCTGAACAAGAGATTACAAGTTCAGACCTAACCTGGGTAACTTAGCGACTTAGTGAGACCCTGTGTCAGAAAATTTAGAAGGGGCTGGTTGGGAATGTACCTCAGTGCAAAAGCCCAGTAACACCAATCAATCAATTGATCAATCAGTCAGTCTTAATTATTCACTGAAGGCCATGTATTGGAAGAAAAATAGATGTAAGTTTCAAACTGATTATGGGAGAAAGTAACCATAAATTGTTTATTTAACCAAAACATAAATTATTGTAAAAAGTCTTCAAAAGACATAGAAAATGATGTTTAAAAGAGCCACTATGAATAACCCCTTAAACTGCTTTATCTGCTAGATAAAGAATGGGAAAATGAAGTATAGTTAAGTAGGAAGGAAGATAAGGCATATTCGGTCATGTGACAAAACCATCATGGCATGGTGATAGTTGGCTGAGGATTTAGTACTGTTACAGTTAATTACAAGGCAAAATTCAGAGGGCATCGATTATGCCACTGTTAGCAGAACAACCCACAATAAGGTTCACAATTATAACATTCAGCCTGCGGCCTTTATGTGGTTGGTTCTGAGTCAGTGCCCTAACAATATTTACTGTGTTGTAGTAGGCACGCACCGGATACTATGGAACTACCAGGCTTCCTTAGTTAAACACTCTTGATACTACTGTAGGAATTCTCTAGATTGCTAATTTGCTATTCTGTACAAAAACCTACTGTAACTACTAGGTTTCTCCAATAGTTTCTTGAGAATGAGATGTTGGTGGCTAAGTTTTGAAGTCTTACTAGAGAGTTTTGATGGGAGTCTTGAAGCTTTTGAATATCTCCTATCCTAGGTGGCAATCAGTGTTTTCCAATGCATTTTCCTTCCTATTAATGCTTCTTATATTATGAAATTATTTTAAGTGAATATGGGAGCTTATATCTGTCAGTTATTTTTGTAGTGAATGTTTATAGCAGAATGCTTTCATAAACTTCAGATAATTAAGACAGGATCAAAATCTGGCAGTATGTTTTAGTTTATATTTATGCTTGTTTACTCTTTGAAACTAGCGCCATGTTTAGTATATTATTCTATTCAGTTTTGGATTTTGTGTTTTGGCTCATCTTATGTTTTCATGGTGACATGAATTTCTTTTGGTATTTCATATTTGTGTGGCTGAAATATTATCAAAAATAATAAGCAATGCATGGCATAGTGAGCATTTACATATCACTGAGATAATAGTGGATTCCCGTAGTTTTTATATTTGTAATATTAGATCTGAAGGTAATATATGGAAAAGTAATTTATTTTTGTTCATTTGCAGAAAAGATGAAAAGGAATATGCACTGAAGCAAATTGAAGGCACAGGAATATCCATGTCAGCTTGTAGAGAGATTGCAGTAAGTGGATATAAATAGTTATTTGTTGATATTGGGTGATGATTCATTTTAATATGAATTTTATCATGGCTATTTTACAGATGTTAATTAGTTTAAGTGTATTTTATATAAGTTGAAAAAAGTCTGCATAAATTTTGTTGCTGTTATTGTTACCTGATCTCTCTCTCCTCTCTGATGGTTCTAGGGATCCAACCCAGGTGCTCTGCCACTGGTTATATCCCTAGACCTTTTAAAATTAATTTGAGATGGAGTCTTAGTTCATTAAGTGAGATTTGAACTTTCAATCCTCTTGCTTCAGCCTCCTTACATGCTTAGATTATAGATGTGTACCTTTATTCCTAGCTGAACATTTTTGTAATGATATTTAGTATTTTTAATCTTAGAATTACTAAGCTAAATGAAATTAACATAGAATATGGTTTAGTTAATTTTTTTAATTTTAGGGTTACTATTCTTTATATAAAGAAAGAGGCCATATTATTAAATCTTATGCCTTTAACAGTTTTCCTCAATTATATAATTTAATGATAGCTTGTACTAGTTGCTAGAGAAAAGACCATCATTATTAGTAGGCTGTCCTTGAGAAATATAGTTCTTTTTTTTGTCTTCATGTGCCTTACGCATGCAATTAAAAATCACCTATAAGAGGATCTAACATTTATTGAAGGTTTACTAGGTACTAAGCTTACTGGGTGTTTTTAAGTATTCATTTAATTTTTCACAGTACTGTGAAATAAATACTTTTACTATCCCCGTTTTATAGATCAGAAAACAGGCAAAACCATAATTATAGTTTAGAAGGGTTATTATTACTTTATTTTAGTTTTTGATAAAGTTTACTAATTAGGACTTTATCACAATATGTTTATTAGATTTCTGTCTCTATGAAATATTTAAGTAATCATTTAGTAGCTGTTTATATTGTCTATATCCATTAAGTATTTCTGGTCTGATTTAGTAATTATTACATACATTACCCATGTAGTTTCTTTCATATTTTTGGTCTACTCACATGGAAGCATCGATTCATCACTTTTTTTAAAAACAGCACTGAGATCGAACCCAGGACTTTCTCACTAAACTATATCCTCAACCCTTTTTCTATTTTTTTACCTTTGAGACAGGTTCTTGCTAAGTTGCTAAATTGTCCAGGCTGGACTTTTGATCCTCCTGCTTTAGCCCCACAGAGTGCCAGGTTACAGGTGTGTGCCACCACGCCAATTCTGTCCCTCTTAGTCATGAGAAAAAGTTATGGTACAAAGAATACGTACAGCAGTAAATCTGTATCCAGACGCAGATGCCAGCTTGCCTAGTTGTCTATGTTAGCGATGAGTCTGTTTCTTTATCTGTGATGAAAGGGAGCTATAAGGTCCCTTCGAGTCATACATTCTGTAATTCCAGAGTGGGACTTTTTTCCTGGCGGAGCACACTTTAAGGAGCAGGGACCTTGTCTCTCTTTTTGGCCTCAATTTGTTGCATAGTGCTTGGCACATAGAAAGTTTCCTATAATTGTTTCTTGAGTAAATAAATGAACAACATTTAAAAAATGTTACTAGTTATCAGAATGATTCTAGGTTTGCTTTAGAATATAAATTTATTACCGGAAAATTTTCACTTTGATAGTTTTCCATTAATTATAAAAGTGGTGTTTATAACGCCCTACCAGAATAACCATTCTACCAGAATAAATCATTTACTTATTTATTAAAATTCTTATGTATGATCATATCAACCAATATAACTAGCACTGGTATGCTGTTTCTCTGTGTTAGAGTACTATAATTTAGAATCACATTTTTTTCGGCCTTACCTTCCATGAGTCATTTAGGCAAATGACTAGAACTTAAGGTATTAACTAGTGGTAAATGAAAACTCAGTTGTAGACATCCTATTAGAAAAGAGATTTCTATGTACAGAGGAATCTATAGGTGTTTGTATCTTTATGTAAATTTGGAGTGTGTTTGAGAAACTTAGCTAGTAGTAAAGTCATTTACAGCTTTCATGTTTTTATTGAGTGTTTGCCTAATAGAACTTTAGAAAGTATAGAGTTTCTAATTTGAATAGCATTTTATTACTACTTGAACTGTTTAGCCCTAGTGTAATTGGACTTTTTAAAATTCATTATGTTATTTGGTACATTTTAGTTGTACAGTATGTTGACATTCATCATTGGGATCTTGTACCTTTACATGATGTATCTTGGTTCTTATTTTTTTCCCCATTCCCCTGCCATCCCTTCAACCCCTCCACCCCTCCTATTTACAAAGACTTTGTTTCCATTTATTCCTTTTCTCATATTTTCTCCTTTCCCTTCTTTCTTTTCCCCTACACCTCCAAATTCCCCTTGGACCTTTTCTTCCTATATCACATTATCTCTTATGCTTTTTGATCCTCATTTACACTTTTAGTTTCTCACACTAGGAAACTAATTTGAAATGTGTATTATTATAAGTGGCTGTGCACATACATCTTACACATTAAATCACTAACAGTTTTATAATTAGTGTTTTATGTATTTATCTTTTAAATTATATAGAAGAAAAGAGTTACAGACAAAAATGCATCTATGCAATCTTTTCTGTTTAGCTGTCAGTAACTTTATTGGTGTCATTTTTTTGGATGTGAATGTGACTCATTGTCCAAAATCCTTACTTTTGGTGAAAGTCTCCTGTTGGCATTTTTTGTATAACACATGTACTAGTAATGAATTTTCTCAGTTAAAAAATTTTTTTTTTCATCTGGTGATGTGTAATTCTTTTTTCTGTCCTTACTGGCATACCTTCATGTCTACAGGATATTTTTTTCTTTCACACTTTGTTATGCCCGTCTTCTGGCCTGATGAAAAATCAGCTGTTAATCTTGAGAATCCCTTGTACATGAGGAGTTTTTCTCTTTGCTGATTTCAGAGATTCTCTATTTGTCTTTGTCTTTGAAAGTTTGAGTATGACATGTCTACATGTAGATCTCTGAGTTTTCCTACTTAGCATTTGTTGAGCTTTGAGGATGTATAGATTTATATTCATCAAATTTGAGAAGCTTCCCTTCCTTTCTTCCCATCCATTCTGTTCCCTTTCCTTCCTCCTTCCTTTGCCTATTTTTTTCTTCTGTTTTTCCCCTTTGTTCCCCTACCCCCATGGCTATCTTCTTTTGTGGATTCATATGGTGGAAAGGACAAGGTATTTCTTCTGTGGGGTCTCTTTTCTTTTTTGGTACTGGAAATCAAACTCAGGACCTTGCACTTGAGAGGTAGTCATGGTGCCACTTTTGTAAGTGGACTGATCCCATTCACGAAGGCCCTCATGACCTGATAACCTCCCAGGGGCCTCATTTCCTAATATCACTCTGGAGGTTCAGATTTTAAAATATGAATTGAAGTGGGATAGGGGAACATAAATGTTTAGTTTATTGCTAGAGGGAAGAGAAATAGAGAATATGTCATTTTATGTTGGAATGCTGCCTCCCTCAGCCCTGGCTTGCTTGCTGAGGAGCCCTAGTTCTTCCTTAACCTCTGCTTGGTTCTTTCCAAGTGCACGTTTCCACCAGCACCCTAGCACCGATGCTCCATGGTGAGCTGTGGACCGGCTGTAGTGGACTGTCACTTGCAGTTTTCCATCTAGCATGCAGTAAGGGCAGGTAGAGTGCAATGGCAGATAAAGAACTTCTGCCATTTCTTTTCCTGTGTTGTTATCATGCTGCTGTAGCAGGCTGCTGTGTAAATTTTAGTTAAATGCTTGGAATTTTCTTCTTAAAAGAAATAAGCTTAAAAAAATTTATGAAATGAAATTAATGACTCTTTCCCCCCGTACTAGGGATTAAACTTGGGGCTTCATGCGTGTTAGGTAGGCACTTTACCACTGAGCTACATACGCAGCATGCAGTGAAATTTATAGATTATATTTGCTGAGGATTACTCTGAGAAAAACTTCAAAATATCTATGAATGGACCTCTAATTTTCATTTATTTCTGTCAGCCTCTAAACTGTTGTTAAATTTTACATATTAAAAATTGAGAAGTGTACATTTAGTTTTATTAAGATTATTCACTTATCATTTTAATTGTTTTTGTCTTTCTTGAACAATTTTGTCCTAAATGTGTTGAATTTTATGAAAGTATAGATTTGTGGAAATGGATGTGTGATTTAAGTATTTTAATACCCTCTTTATGAACGGATAATATCAAAGTATAATATTAAGATTTCTATTAAAAAACTACTAGAAAAGAAAAGCTAGATGTGGTGGCACACACTTGTTTCTAGCAGCTTTCAGTAATGCCCTAAAATTATGATCTCATCAGTGTATTAATCCACTACCCGAAGTTAACTTCCTGGGCAAAATAAATAATACTCCCAGTCACTCTTATAATGAAGAATGAAATGTTGTTAGAGTTTGGCTTATGCAGTTTGTTAATTTTGCAAGATTCGGGGAACTGATGAAAAGTCATTGTATGGGGAAGAACCTCATGGAAGGATTTTTATTTCCCGAAAACTGAAAAGGTATAAGGAGCCAGCTAAAACATGGGATTCTAGTTCTTTGGTATTGTGCTTTACTTATATGTTAGGTCATGAGTCTCAAAGCTGTGTGTGTGTGTGTGGTGGTGCTGAGGGAAGACAGTCATAGACACTTGAAAACTTTCTAGCTGGCTCTCAGTAGCATCTTTGAGTCCCTGTGTGTGGTTGCTGTAACTCCATTGCTTCTATGAAGAACTGCTGAGTTATTATTGAAGACTTTTCCGCTGTGTTAGTAACTCTCCTTATTAGGGAGATGAGTGGTTTTATTTCAGTTCTCCTAAAAATACAAAAATCACCAATTTTATATTCTTGTCTAAGCAATTAAAGTTAATTGGCTGTTAGACCCTGAGTTTTAGTGTTATTTTTCTCTTGAATAATACTGAAGCAAAATTGTGCTGGTGATATAATTGAAGAATAAAGGACTGAAAATAAGTCTGATGCTGGCATATTAAGGGCTTAGCTCAGAGCCTGGACATAAATGTGCAGTAAATG